TTATCGTGTGTAGTGTTCAAGGAGGGTGTAGTCACTTTTATCCAAATGATATCCTAACTTTCCCTAAGCCTATATTACAAGCTTGACAAAGTCCTTTGTGATCTCAGACCGAATGATATTGAGTCAATGATGATTGAAAATAAGGGTAAGTCTATAGTGAGGTATTTATGTGCATAAGATGTTCTTTGTGAGTATTTATGCATTTGTCCCTTGTCTTGTAAATACCTGATGAGTGTATTTGGATATTTTACTTCTTGTGAGAACATCTAAATTGAGAAAGTGGTGATTTAAAAAATCCTAGTTAAGTCAAATGAGCATGTGAAGGAGCTAATAAGTTTGAGTCACTTCTTGAGTTTGAGTTGTTGTCACTTAATTATTCTTGATTCTTGAAGATGTAATGTGAAAATGAGGGGAATTATTTGTGGAAGTATTGCATTTGGCAACTATTTGTTAGTACAAACTGAAGTCATCTTTTTTTATGTCTAAGGGATAATTGGCGTGCTTGAATTAAATAGGTTCTTGATGTTGTGATTCTAGGTTACTTGAGGGAAAGCAATAATTTAAGTTTGGGGTGTGATAAATGGGTATTTTTGCTAACTTATCTTGTCTATAAGCTTATATTTTATCTTGTTAGGATGAGAATTATTGATTTTAATGTGGTTTTCTTCATATTTGGAGGAAAGTGAAGTGAAGAGTGGATTTAAAAGATATTTAAAGAAACCAAGTGAAATTGAGGCAAAAAGAGGACAAAAAGCTAAATTTGAATTGGCAGGTGCTTAGTCATCATGATCGTGTGATCAAAGGGTAGTGATTGCGGTCAACAGAAATTGGAGACCTTTCAATCGCGTGGTCAGAGATCATGATCATGTGATTCAGAATTTCTACACGTCGCGATCACGTGGGATAGATATCGTGAACGTGAAGAACAAATGTCAGGCGGCTGGGCAGAACTGGAAATTCACTATTTTGATCCTAAAATCCCATTTTTACTTAAATTGCTTTCCTAATGGAATTGATAACTCCTTAGACTTGCTCATTTACTTTGATTGAGTTTGAAAGAATCAATTGAAGTTGGCTAAAGTTGATTAGCGCAATTTTTGAGGTGTAATAACTCATATATAGGATGATATCTAGAAATAGTGATTCCTTGCAATGCATATAACTGAATTGATTGTTTGCTACTTCCCTAGGTTTGATAGAACTAGTTGATATATATTTGCCTATGTTCGAAAGAAATAGGTGGATAATTGTGATTCCAATGCATATATGATTTTACCCATGAATGAGTTTGCATGGGATTGAGTTTTAATGGGTCGTTTGAATGTCAATTAGCTTCCCATTCCCTTTGATATCTTTCTTGAAAAAGCTTTAGCCCCTATCGTTCTTGTTACTCGAACCATCTTCATATTATAATTATTGTATTTCTCGTTTGGATTCAAACTAGTAGCTTGTAATTCATTATCTTTTCTTTTGCCGATAAATTGTTTCTTGTGGAATTCAACTCCGACCTTATACGTCGAGTTATTATATTGCTAACGATTGCCTACTTGTTTAATTGTTTTACGAATAATTTGAGTGTTATCGTCTCAAATACATCTTTCCCTCGTTTCAAGATACATACATGCCAAATGCAAATGTCATGAGCATGGCTTTACACTAAAAAAAAAAGTCAAACCATTTTTAAAGAAATCACACCACATAAATAATTGGGTAAACCCCATCACAATACATTCGTACTAAACTGGAACTCGAGCCAATCCAAGTCTAAGTCCTTAGGCCCAAAAATACATTAAATAAGCGACAAAAGCTTGAAAATGACAAAAAGGGGCACACGAGCAACCAAACCAATACGATGCACAAAAATGTATGTTTTATGCCACCGCAAAGAATTCTAAGGATGCTATAACAACAACCAAAGATAAGGATCAACCTTAACTAAGGTTTATCGACTAAACATTATGTTAAATAAATTGAAAATGGCCATAAATATACTCTAGGGGTCATTTGGTTGGGAACAAGTTATCCCAGGATTAGTTATCCTGAGGTTAGCTAGTCTGGGATAACTTATCCCACCATGTATATGGGATAACTTATCACATCACTATGATATAAATGGTGGGATAAGTTATCCCAAACATGGCAAGCAAACAAGATACAAAAAATTAATCTCATCACTATTTATTTTTATCCCTCACACCAAACGACCCCTAAGGGTCATACAACCCTAAAGTCTTATCATTAAGTCCTCCTAACGATTAATACTACTCAATATATATACAATATAACTAAGACAAGTCTAAAGAGGAGAAACTAAGACATATCCCCTGATGGGCCTCCAAATGATGCCACACTATCAAATTAGCGATGAGAATGTCAAAAAAGCTAAACGATATCCAAATTGTAATAAAAAGTTTTGGAATGGAAAATCAGGTCGAACTATGATCATGGGACCAGTGTGTGGAATCACAAATTTACTTCGTCAAAAGGTCCCAATTAGCTTAATAAACTTGTGTTTCAAAATGGGCACTATCAAAGCACCAGACAATCCTAAATAAGTCCCATCATAACATAGCCCAAAAAATATCAAAAAGACAATTCAAGAGGATAATCAAACGGAACATATAAGTTAAACGGAATATTAACGACCCACACTATATCCCCCACACACTCAAACAACAATTTCCACGTACCTACATGAAATTAGCTCTAAATCGCCACAAGGAAATGGTTATTTTGAAATATGCATGCTGAAATTCATGATCACTAATATAACTGAACTCAAGTGTTCATCGCGACAAAGGAACACGGGTTGTGATCACAATTCACTAAAGGGGGTCGGGTCCATTGACCACCCCTCCCAATCGTGTGGGTCAAAGTTCATGGTCACGCCGATCATGCAAGTTGATCTTTGCAATCTCGTGGTTCTATCTCGTGGTCATGATGAGAAAATGCCCAGCACCAGTTGCATAAGCTCACTTTATTTTTTGAAAAATCCCCGACGAGGTCCCATGATTCTTTTCAAACCTTGTGAACGCAAGTGAACTATACTACGCCACCAAAATTGATATTTGTGCACTCAATAGAATTGACAAAACCACCAACCGAGGGTGTCTTGATGTAATGTTTGCTCAAGTTGTGTTTACACAAAGGTAAGTAAAGCAACAAAATGCAAATGCGACAAAATCATTCTGATTACCTTGGGATCTGAACCAAAGGTCGTCCTAGTCTAGAGCTAACCACGATAATGGAATCCTCATCTAAAAACACATTTTCAAGAATGTTGACCGAAGCTAACCCTTAGCCATAGTTTCCAAAACTTCTTTCCTAATGGCTCAAACTCACGCCAAAGACCTCAAGACCCAAACTGACCTTGCTACTAGCCCAAAATGGATCTTCCGGACTAACAGAAATCTCATACAACATCAAATTCTCTGGATTGATCAACTCTTTCACTTGAAACTCTCAAAAAGGGTGAAAACACACACAATTTACTCCCAACCACCTTAGAAAATGTGTCACCCATCCCAGCACACCGTAAATACTACACGTAAGCTTCAGGAAGAGGCAGAACAATAAAAGCACACAAAGAAAGAAAATGACTATGAGAAGCATTACATATTTTAAGCTAAAATGATTTTTTTTTAAAAAGAAGCTAAAAGCACCTACATGACAACCCCTACGAGCCTAAGCACCGCCTCTACATGGGGAACCTCAGCCCTGCACTGGGGTCTATATCTAACATAGTGGCCAACCTTGCCACAATCAAAGAAACCTTTATCACCCCAAGGTATGGAAGGAAGACTATCAGATCCATCATGGCCTCCACGACACAAAGTTTGGAGTGATGCCTGAACTAGTCAGCTTAATTGCCCTTGGGCTGATAAGAAAGTTGACCTCTACTTGAAAATCCCCTATCAAGGGATCGGTACCTACTATAGCTACCTTAAAAGCCAGTCTTCTTATTGATTCCCCCATAGGCCTCACGATGGAGCTCCTCTATAGTCCAGGCATGGTCAACTACATTGACAAAGGACCTACCCGCTGATGCTAAGGAATCTGTAGACATCCGTAGTGAGAGTCTCAACCCTTGGATAAAACAATAGACTCTCTCCTTCTTAGTGGGAAGAATCATAATAGCGTGCCTGGAGAGCTCATGCTCAATGAGTCTTTTACTCAGCCCTGCTCCAACCTAAAGATATGATCCCTTAGTCTATCCATAATAATGCGGGGTGCGATCATGGCAAAGAAGGCCTCAAAAAATTGCATCCAAGTCGGGGGATGTGTCTAGCTAGTCTACACTCTATGTATGAACGTCACCATTGCCTACCAGATCCATCTAGTTGATATGCCGTGCAATCCACCCATTTGCCTGCCAGATCCATCTAGTTGATAAGCCGTGTAGTCCACCCATCTGGATTTACCAGGTTAGTGTGTTTAATCACTCACGAAAATTGTTCAAGAACTTGTGAGCATCCTTTCTTGTAGCCCCTACAAACCTCCGACGAGGTAATAACAAAAATCGGCCTAACATCTTCTACTCTTCCAATGACATGGCGGCCTCAACTTCTGCACGCTAAGCAGCTACAAGTGCTGGTAGTACCTCTACCTGGGGAGCTGCAATGGCGGGCTACACTCTGGCCCCATTAGGTTGTGTTGCATATCCCCTAACAATGGTAGAAGCTGAGCGATGACCGTCTGTAGTCCCGGCACAACCTTAAGTAGAATTTAGAACGACAGAACATGTCTAGCAATGAGAAAAATGTGAACACCACCAACACAAAACATTATGTATCATGGGATATACTAATTTATATTCTCCTTTTTCATGTAGAAAAAAAATGGTTACACATTCTGATGTGGTGACTAATCTGAAAAATGTTGGCTCATATATTCTTCCACTAAATCCATTAACTTATAAAGAGTTGCAATAGAGACAAATAACAACTAACGTTGAGCCTAATTATGAAACATCCAACTCAGAGACTGTTACTACTCTAATATCACTGGGGTGTTTCCATGGAATTCTCCTGCAATGGATTCTCATGTTGCTGTTCTGTAACATCACGAGTCTCGGATTTCTTCTTCTCCTTGAGAATCACCTGTCTTGGCATCACTTCTAATAGAAAATTTCCACCGTTCCATACAGATGCTGAGACCTTAAGTATTTGGTACACCACATGCAACTTATATGATAGAAATATGGGCACGGTGAGTGCGGTAGTTGCCACGGTAAATATAGCCTGGAGGAGAATAAACATAAGCAACCGATTCTGATCACCAAGCAAACCACTTAAACGCCACCACATGTTGTTCGCTTTCTTCGCTTTCTTGGAGAGCTCCCTGTCAATATAACAAGTTCCCAAAATGGATGAAGAATTCTGAATCCACCCACTGTGACAAGGATGAAGAAAACAAAGAGGTACGTTGACAAAAATAATTAATTACCTGTAAGAAGTCATAACTTCAGGGTCTCGCAAGAGTCTCTGTCGACGTAGGACCTCTACAATGAGATAATAGAGAACTTGCCAGAAAAAGTAAGCAGCTAATGGAACAAAAAACAACCATTTCCAAAGGTACGATTGGTTTTCTACATAAGGCCATGATGCTCTTTCTGGAGTCCCTTCTGGATGCATAGCTCCAAAAAACACAGGATCCCACCACCATATTGTGAAGAAAACCAACCCTGATAATCACAAGTATATTCTCGGTAGGTACAACTCTATAGCCCATAGCTATATACATCTCGAAAAAATCTTCCAAATCCCAAAGTCAAAATTTGTATTTTGTTTCACAGTGATTACATAGAGAAGGGAGATGGGAACACCTCGTAGAAGAGGATGCTACCTACGGGGTTTGAACCTTTCTCGTAGTTATACAGAGGGAACGGGTGCTCACCAAGAGAGCCTACCTCAAACACAATGTCAAATTAAGTTCCCTAGCTACTTCAATGCAATTGACGGACTTCAACAAGTAATGAAGATCTAGTGTGTGAGCATTCTACATAATATGTAGTAGCAGCCACAGAACAAACAAATATGTATAAATAGGATCTCTTTATCTCTGGCTTTAAAACACAAACTTCGAGATGAAATGAGGATAACCAAGACATGAGTAGGGGTGAATTTAATATGCATTCTAGAAGAAGTTAATTTATTCGGACCTTATACACCATTTTCCTGATACTCCTCCAGAAGCAATCTTAGCTTTGACAAAAAAAACAGTTTTAGTATCGCCAAGATTATACTCCCGAGACTAAGAATGAGAGAAACAAAATCCCAAAATGGACAGTCCAACACAAAACGAGCTACATTCGACTCATATTATATTGCTCATCTCAAACCACAGCCATGTGATTTTTTGAGGGACATGCAAACAACAATATAAAAAAACTGAATGAATTGTAGTCAAGAATGTTTCTTTCAAAACAAGGCACTCTGTTTTAACATTAAGAATTTTATTTTGGAGCATATAACCATACATTGACTTGTGTAGTAAAGAGGCTAAATTTGTAGAGCAGGAATCCCACTTACCAGGTAAAAGATGTATGAAGACACTGACAGTTTTATCAACTGAACTAAAAACTAAGCTACAGCGCCAAACGATCAATGCCCAGGCTAGCGGACCCTGCAGTTGTATTTAATTTTCCTTAAAGAGAACTAAAACTTCCAAAGTGAAGTTAGTGTTAATAGAAACATACCTCTGCAAACGAGAAACAAACCATGAAAAACCTCTCATTAGTAGGAAAACCCAGAAGCATGATTATGAAAATTGTGTTTGCATAATAACAAAAGTCCTACAAAACAAGAAGAAAAAATAAAACAAAATAGTCATTTCCAGTAATTTTCAATCAGCTCAGTTATGGTAGTCAGGAGTGGAGATCAAATAATAGAGCGGATCTCAATATAAAGTTGAGCAACAACAAAAGCAAATTTAAAATGTGGAAGCAAATCACTATGATGCTCTAGCGCTGGGCACAATTAATATTGTCCTCTCTCCTGTTGGAACTTGGAACCAACCATTATGTTTTTTCCAATCTAATTTGAGATATGTGTTTAATAAATACTCCCTCCGTCCAACAATACTTGTCCACTATACTAAAAATAGATGTCCAACAATACTTTTCTATTTTATGAAATCATGAATAATTTTTACACTTAATTTCTAATTTATCCTTATCATAACTATAGTCATTTTTTTATTACATTTTTCAAGATATTGTATATTAGTATATGCAAAGGATTATATAGTAAAAATTACATTTCTATTTATAGTTTAGTCTTTCAAGGGGTGTTTTAAGGGGTGTGGCAAGCTAACAGTGGACAACTATGTCCACTATTGTTGAATAAAGAGTGTATAAAATTAATACAGAAGCATACGTTTACCACACAACTCATGAAAAGTGACCTAATACACTAATCTGCCCTTTAACTTAGCCTCACGTGAACATCTATCTCCTCCAATTTCTACCCTTAAACATGTGTAAAATTGAATAACACATTCATGTATTATGCCATTAAAATAATTGGAAAGCACAACTGAAAATGCGAAAAACTGTTGAGTGTGCTTACGAGAAGATAGTAATGCCATTTCTTGAATCTGTAGTAGATCCATCGAAGAGGAACAAAAGTAAGATAGAAGAAACAGTAAACATATCGAATATCCTGTGGCCCTGACGAATATTGGATATATATATATATATAAGACAAGAATGAATAAAGCAAATACTGACTTGCACCCAAAATAAAGCAAAATGCTCCAAAGCCAAGAACTCCCAAGAGATGAGTCACCTGCAAATTAATTAACAAGAGTAGTAATTAATTAGGTACAAGGAGTGAAAACTAACTAATTAAGTGGAAGACCTTGTTAATAAATGGTTCATGTTCCTCCGCACGTTGAGCGATCTTAACGGCTTGTTTGGACAACATCTGCTTCGTTCTCTCCTTCGTTTTCTACACAAATCAATTACTCTAATCAATTCATCATCATTTTAATTAATAAATTAAATGTTTTGTATTATAGGTACCGTGCCTTGGATCGATCTTTGAAGCGCTCTTTCACTTTCCCAAATGAATCTCCATTGTAATATTCCTCCATCCCTTGGTCTCTGTCTTTGCCTCTGCTATCAGCTCTGTCAAAATGATTCTCTCTCTAATCCTAATTATTTTTTATACTATTTTTAATTTCATTGTTTTGATAGTATGGTTTTTGAGAGATCTAGATTATGTTGGTTCCCATATTTATATTTATGAGAACATTACATAGTTTTAGAGTGACAATTACTAGTCGCTGTATATATATTTAATACACGTGTAAAGCTCTAAGAATTTGCTTTCTTCAAAAGGCCACACGTCGATTATACAAACTAGAGGATTAATATTGGCAAACAGACTTTCTTTTGCTTTCTAAAAAAACAATGAAATTTTTTCCTATTTTCTGGGTATTCATTAAATCATTACGTACAGATTTTACATTAGCTATTTAGTACTAAACCGTAGAGAAAATAGTTAAATAGTCTCCCGACGTATTGTTAAATTCTCAACTACATATTTTAACTTCATAGGAGTTTGTTATCTCCTTGAACTATTTAAAATTATAATTCTTCACATTAAATGCTTATTGTTATGCAATGTGTATTATAAATCAATACTACTGATAGAATCTGTAAAAAACGTATGAAACAGAATGGAAAGAAACTCGAACTCACTGAATGCACAGTATCCCCTTAAGGAAATTATTTTCCTCTAGTATCTGAGGTTTGAATTGGAATATTTCCTCCCATAATAGAATGATTTTATTCACCAGTATATTGATAACCAAAACAATGGTGTCAGCGAGTCATTCAACGGCAGTAAAGTACACGAATAAAAATTTGTGTAGAAGAAGAAGAAGTTCAGAAATTTTCATAAATAAAACATCTGTGAAATCAAAGGTATTTATAGCCAAGAAGCACTGGTTCTGAAAGGTTGCAACCTTTCAGAAACCACACGATCATTGATGAAAATTTGCAACCTTTCAAACGGTCATGGTTGTTCCTAAAAGTTGCAACCTTTCAGAACAGTCATCTCCAACGGTGGGAAGTTCAAATAAAACAGGAAAGATGTTTCGCGCGGATCCGTGCTTGGGTCGGGTCGTTTCAGCTAATTATTTAAATAAATAAAAATGTTTTGACCTTTTAATTTAATTTAATTAATTAAATAAATAATTAAAACAAACTTTGTCCAAAAATAATGTAACGACCCTAAAAACGAACTAGTGAAACTAGAGCTTAATGTGCGTGCGTTTGTGTGGTCTTGAGTTTTGAAGGTGTTTTGATGTTGTCCCGAGCCATGATTGAGGTGTTTAGGGGTTAGACGTCAAGGTACGACTCCCCAAGGACCACCCTAAGGATCCTTGAGGAGGACCCTAAGTCTAAACCCCAAGACCCCAAGGAAACTATCAAGTTGGCCAAAACTTGGTGACCTATGGATGGGGTTCACGCCCCGTAGGTCCATCCACGCCCCGTAGATGGCCTCCGTAGGTCAAGAGGCCTAAAACCAACTTGCAGCCCTAGACCACGGACCAGCAGCACGGTCCGTGAGTCCAGGGCTTGAATGGGCACTATTTTTGTGGTGCAGTCTCGGCCAAGCTAGGGGTGAGTTGGTAAATTCACCCCAAGTCCTAATTAATATATGGAAGATTATTTTAAGTGTTTTAAGGTATTTTAAGAGTATTAAAATGGTATTTTAGATTTCATTATTCACTTTTCCCCAAATCAAAACCTTTCCCTCCTAAAAAGTTCTCTCTAGAAACTCCATTGGAGATCAAGGTCAAGTTCAAGCTAGGGTTGCGATTTCAAGGTGTTTCTTCTTCAATTTCATGGGATTCTTCAAGTATAAGGTATGGTGATCCTTTATCTAGGGTTAGCTTTAACCCTAGAGTCAATTTCAAAGAAGTTTTCAAATTCTTCAAGTTTCTCAAAAACTTAGATTTCACTCAATCTCATGGGTTCTTGTATCAAACGTTTTCAAATGATAAACTATGATTATATTGATGTTTAATTGATGATTTAAGATGATTTTACTCCATGAACCCATGATTTCTCTCAATTCCTAAATTTGGCCTTATGAAGTGGGTTTGTTGCTTATGAATGAATGATGATGGATTTGTGCGTAGATTGATTTAGATTATTGATTTGCATCATTATCTATGTCTAATTATGGTGAATTGTTGGTGAATTGAGGATTTGTGATCATTGCCTTGAAAGGGTAAGTTTGACCTAATTACTTGATGTATTAGAATTGTGATTGAATTGTTGATCCACTTAAAAGGTGGAGGTGTTTACTTCCTATGTATGTTGTGATCATGGCCTTGAAGGCATAGTGTGAGGAATTGAAGTATTATCATGATGATGTTGTATATATGAATGTGATATGAAGCATGTGTGTGATCTCAATGAATGAATTATGATCTTGTCTAGAAGCTAATTGTGTTAGGATTGAATGTTATCTCTCTATTAACACCCATGAATGTTGATGATGGAATGTGAAGGGTTCTATAATGTAATGTTGAATGAGATCTCTTGAATTGGTAATCTTAGGCATCCTTTTCTTATATGATGAGTATATCTTGACTTGATGTCTTAATGTCTTGAATTGGTAGATCTAATATTGGTAGCCTTTTCATGAATGAATGAATGAGTTAATGATGATGTTAATGAATGTTGAGTCTATTGAAAGTCTATTCTCAATTGTACTCTATTGAATGCTAATGATGTGTTGATTGAAAGGATATTCTCGATCTTGCACTAATGAACTATAATGGGGTTCTTAGATAAAAGGCTATTCTCATCTTTGAATCTATGAGCTATCCAATGAATGAATCTTGGGTTGAGATAGATGCCCTCACGTGAGTTGAGGCGGGGTGTCTAGTAACAATCTCTTATCCCTTAATGTGATGAATGGTAAAATACTCTATGGGAATGTAGGCTAAGCACCGAGAGGATATTGAATGAGATGGAAGCTCTCACGTTAGTTGAGGTGGGGTTTTTAGTAGAAATCTCTTGATATGGATGTCGTCACGTGAGTTGAGGCGGGGTATCTAGTAGCAATCTCCATGTCCCTTAACTATGTGCCCACATAGGATAGCTAGTGGATCCACTTAAGCTATATACTGGTTTACCTTAGGCAAGTAGGCCAACCTTTACGATGTGGGACAGTACATCGGATTCCATGATCTAGCTCTCATGGTCTATGTCGGTTAAACGCTTATTCCCATCATGTGAGATGTGCATTATAGTTTCTTGAGGAGCTCTATGAAGTGTGGGTAGTAGTATGGGATGCTATCCATACATGGCACGAGTAGGCTTCAAGAGGGCTATAGTGAGTTCTCTAAGTCTTAATGACTATTGTTTGAAAGTCATCTAAATGATGTTATTGAGTGATGTTGACTCTTATATGTTTAAATGTAAAGATGTATGCTATACTTGGATTGTATTATGAGTTACTTCCTTGTCATGAATTATTGTATACGAATGTGCCTTGTCTGTGACTTCAAAGGAGTACTTAGTGTGAGTAGTAGTATGGGATGTTACTTGTACATTGCACAAGTATGACTTAGAGTTGTCTTAGATGATGGTATTAATGTGATGATGTGATTCATGTGATGTTTATGTGTCTTATATGCTCTAGTGTAAAAGTGAGAAGGATGAATGGTAAGTACAATTTTGGTGACCTTAAGGTGGTACCTTAGTGTGGGTGGTGGTACGAGACACTATCCATACATTGCACAAGGTATAGATTGAGGGTTACTTGAGGTGAAGGCTCAAGGTGAAGGTAAAGGGTTGTATATGTGATTTTGACTAATGTGAATTATGTGACTTTGTATGTTGGTTGTGACTTATATTATGCTTCTTGTATCAATGTTCATGAAGTTTTACAAAAATGGCATAAAAGTATGGCTTTCAATCAAATGTCCCTTTTTAAGCATGTTTTTGCATGGTCATCATACTTAGTACATCTAATATTCTAACCCCATTATTTTCCCTTTTTACCAAAGTGTAGGCTTCGGAGATGTTGGTGTTCTATGCTTGATGGATAAGTTTCTAAGGTGCTTCAAGATGAAGACTTGGTGAGTCCTCATAGTTTTGAAGACAATACCCATTATGTCCTTTTTTGTCTTTTAGTTTTGTTAAAGCTTTGTATGGGCTAAGTCCCAATGTTGTATTCAAAGTAGTAGATGGTTTGAGACATAGTGTACAAAGTCTAGAAAGTCTTGTCTGTTAGTTTTGTTAAAGCTTTGTATAGGCTAAGTCCCAATGTTGTATTCAAAGTAGTAGATGGTTTGAGACATAGTGTACAAAGTCTAGAAAGTCTTCCGCTTGCTTTTTAATAAAATGTCTTCGATTGTAAAGGAAAGTTTTTAATTCTTCTCTATTTTCAAGTATCTTATGCAATGAATGAGCTATGAGGCTTGTATAAGACCTCTTCGGAGTCGAGTACGCCGTGTTATGACTAGAGGGTGCACTCAAATCGTGACAAATAATCTCTCGATCGATCCTTTTTCAAAGCCAAAACCAAAGCCAAAGTCGAAGCCGAGCCGAGCTAGCAACGACGACGATGGCGCCAGGGGGGTCCCTCTTTCCAACCCTTTTACCAACTAGTAGAAGTGTTTCTCTATTTAAACAATTCAACTTTTCTTTCCACCACCAATGAGGGAGAAATGCCTTTTTACTAAAGCATAAGAGAACCTTTCAAATTCCTCTTTTCATATTCCATCCATTTCCCATAAACTCTTGCTATATACCCAACAATCTCCCACATGAATGGGGAATGATTAACGGACGAGTGTGTACTTTACAAGCAATGATTAATTGTGTTTGGATAAGTAGGTTTCCTGTTGAACCTTCCATAGTGAACATATGTCGGATATACTCGGTCAATTGGTAGATGTGATATCTTTGAACTGTCGAGCTTTGGTGTATACTAGACAACCATATATCACACAATAAACCTTTTACCGTTTATGGTTCTTACGGTTGTGTTCATTTCAGCCATGAACACCTCCTAGTTTCATGAGTGTATAAAGAAAAGGCTTTTTACATGTAACACCCCGAAAACTAGTAGACTAAACTAGGACCTTAAGTTAGGGTTC